AGGAGCAGTTCTGCCTGTCCTGCAGGGAGTGAACAGGAGCAGTTCTGCCTGTCCTGCAGGGAGTGAACAGGAGCAGTTCTGCCTGTCCTGCAGGGTCGCTCTGAGCAAGCACCAACTCCAAGGCAGTGTGAGGTGAGGGAGAACTAAAGTCAAGGTGGCTTATCAGACAGCGACCACTAGGCAGCGGGCAGACCCCACCCCCCACTAGGAGTGTGAACCCCAGGGCGGCTAGCAGGCGAGGGAGGGAGGAGGAACCTTACTTTCCTAAGAGCCACAACCCTCGCTTCTGAGAGCCTCGAGGTAACCTGTGGGAGGAGTCACTGTGACCCTGGGGACCCCACAGGCCCTCAGAGGGGGTGATGACCAAGCATCAGTGAGGAGGCTCTCTAGCCAGACCCCACAGGGACTCACTCCCAAAGTGCTGGCACCCCACTCAGCCCACCTTCCACCCTGTGAACCACCACAGGACTGTTCTGTTGGCTCTGTGCTCCATCACAACACAGGTGACAAGGCGTGCCGGGTGACATGTTGAGACGGTGTTGCAATTTTAAGAAGCGCAGCCATTCCAGATGGAAATACCACCGAGCAAACACTCCAGCTGCAGTAATGGCCAAGCTGCCCTGCAGCCAACCCAGGCCCTCCAAGGAGGGGACCCTGTCCTCACTCCACAGCACCTGCTCCCAATGCACAGGTGGGGACGCCTGGACAGAGCCGGCACGATGTCACGTTGAGCTCTCCCTGTGACATACCTGTGCCTTTAAATAAAGAACTGTTACTGAAATCCCTCAAGGGGCAGAGGCAAGACGGCCCTCTGGAGAAAGAACACCAGCGTGCTCACACACACATGCACATGCACATGCACGGGGAACGGAGGGGAGGGACAGGAGGGAGGTGTGGGGAGAGAGCTAGTGATTGACTAACTGGTTATTTTCAAGGAAACCATGCAGTTGTCTGAATTCCCAGAACAGGCGTCAGGCTGGAGGCTTCCCCGATTCTCGTGGTTGCAGGGGCTGATGAACCCAAAATTGGCAAGTCAGACCCCAGACTACTGGCTCACGAGCCAGCCTGACTGAGAGAGCTTTGCCAGACAGAATGCCTGCTTATGCTGAACCCAGGCCACACCCCAAGGAAACTCCCCTTCTATGGGATCGCCTGAGGAGGGCAGCTACAGGAGACTGAGAACACAAGTCTTCCAGTTGTCTTGACAACATGTCTCTGGCCACTACAACTGCCATTCAAGGGTAAGTTAAATACCCTGCTACAGCTTCCTGGGCACCTCCGTCAGTCACCAATGTCAAGAGGCAAAGCTACTGCTTCTGCGCAGACCCTCCTCTGCCCCCGCCCCGCCCCGCCC